GAGAACAGAGTGCTCCTGGCATCTTAGCCACTACAGCAGGCTATAGTGATTATGATGCTTGAAGTAACCCTTCAGGAATTTAGCATCTGTGTGGACCTCTAACAATAACAACATTTGTAAATGATTTCTTAATTCTGCAACTAGTCCTGAAGCATACTCCACTGTGGGCCCATCATGGACAAGGCTGTTTCTGTTGAATTTCCTTGCAGTTAAACAGGCCATCCTGACTACTTCAGTACAAAAACAAACAATTATAATACCATTTAATGGGACCCTCCAGACCCCTAAAGAAACAAAGTGCAGCTAATTAACACCTTATAATTTGAGACTTTTTATAATTAATGGTTTAAGTGACAATGTATCAATATTCTTATTAACTAAGATAAAATAAACAGGGTTATTCGCTAAAGTGAGAATAGTCTGGAATTTAAAGACTTTCGTATTTTAGACCAAACTAGCTGGAAGCATAGCTGACTTGGAGAATTTCTTTCAAATTCAGCTATTTGGGCCCTAAATTTAGGAAATACTTTTTAATTCAATTTAACTCTAAGCAATTCTCACTTTAGTAAATAATCCTGTAAAGGTTAATGCCTGTTCCTAAAAAAGGCACTGGATGGCACTGTGATACCTCAACATGAAGGTTCCGTCAAGTGTAATGAAAAAAAACAAAGAGTAAAACAAAACATAACAAGCAGTAAAATTAACCTGACTACAGTACCTATGAAGTTAGTGCGTAACCCAGAAATATGTAACACAATACAAAATTGTACAGATTAAAACACTTTTTATTTAAAAAACAAATACACAGAAGAATATATCACTTAGAATATTTTTGAGCAGCCTGTATTACATTTTTTATTATTATTATTTGCCTGTGGTCTTAAAATGGCTCTGGTACCTCAAACTTGCCTTTGTACTATTGTTTCCTATTTCCTTTTTCAGAATCTATTCTTCTTTTCTGATCTATTTCTCTTTAAAACATAAGACAAGTAGGGAGTATGTTTTACTGTATTTTTCCTACATATTGCAATCTTGACAAAGGGTGGCACTTAAAGGACCACTATAGTGCCAGGAAAACAAACTTGTTTTCCTGGCACTATAGTGTTAATAGGTCGTCGCCCCCCCCCTCCCCCCCCTCCCACCCGGGGGGTCCCCTCCCGCCTGGCTCAAGTGGGGTTAAGGGGTTAAACAATTACCTTTCTCTGGTGCCGTGCTCTCTTGGCGTTTGGGACTCTCCTCCCTCTCCCAACGTCATCCGCCGAATGCGCGGCATTCAATCAGTCCATAGGAAAGCATTTCTCAATGCTTTTCTATGGACGGCAGCATCTTCTCACTGAAAATCAGTGAGAAGCACGGAAGCGCCTCTAGAGGCTGTCAATGAGACAGCCACTAGGGGCAGGATTAACCCTAATGTAAACATAGCAGTTTCTCTTAAACTGCTATGTGTACAGCTGCAGGGTTAACCCTAGATGGACCTGGCATCCAGACCACTTCATTGAGCTGAAGTAGTCTGGGTGCCTATAGTGGTCCTTTAAGGCAAGCTTCACCCTTTGTTAGCTTGTCCTTAAGCTCCACCCTTTTGTCAAATTTGTCAGATGTAGGAAAAATAAACAGTTTCTGAAAAAGGAATACATATTTACTGAGCAGGCTCTGTGGCTCAATGGGTAGCAAGCACACTGGTATTCTGATGTATTAAAGCAGAGGTTAATCCAGTCCACCCTTTAATTAATTCACCCCCCTTTAATTAATTCACCCCCCTCTAATTAACCCAGCCCACCCTTTAATTAATTCACCACCCCTTTAATTAATTCACCCCCTCTAATTAATCCAGTCCACCCTTTAATTAATTCACCCCCCTCTAATTAATCCAGCCCACCCTTTAATTAATTCACCACCCTTTTAATTAATTCACCCCCTCTAATTAAAGGACCACTCTAGGCACCCAGACCACTTCAGCTTAATGAAGTGGTCTGGGTGCCTGGTCCTTCTAGGGTTAACCCATTTTTTCATAATTATAGCAGTTTCAGAGAAGTTTCACTGATTTTCACAGTGAGAGCACGCCAGCGTCCATAGGAAAGCATTGTAAATGCTTTCCTATGAGACCGGCTGAATGCGCGCGCAGCTCTTGCTGCGCGTGCGCATTCAGCCGGCGGGGAACAGTAGGAGGAGGAGGAGAGCTCTCCGGCGCTGGAAAAAGGTAAGTTTAAACCCCTTTCCCCTTTCCAGAGCCGGGCGGGGGGGGTCCCTGAGGGTGGGGGCACCCTCAGGGCACTATAGTGCCAGGAAAACGAGTATGTTTTCCTGGCACTATAGTGGTCCTTTAATCCAGTCCACCCTTTAATTAATTCACCCCCCTTTAATTAATTCACCCCCCTCTAATTAACCCAGCCCACCCTTTAATTAATTCACCCCCTCTAATTAATCCAGTCCACCCTTTAATTAATTCACCCCCCTTTAATTAATTCACCCCCCTCTAATTAATCCAGCCCACCCTTTAATTAATTCACCCCCCCTTTAATTAATTCACCCCCCCACCCCCTTTAATTAATTCAATTAATCCCAGACATAAAATATCTAGCGGTACTCACATTTCAAAGATTCCTTGCCGAGTCCGACCACTGGGAGCCTCACCGCCCGGAAATGGATCCTTCCGCTGAAGATCCGTGAAGGCAGACTGACGGCGCTGCAAAATGTCGTCATCACGTTGCGCGACGCTCCTCCTACAGCAGAAGAAGGAAGTCTCGCCGCAAAGGTACAATGCCTAGGTCTTATTTTCGGGGTAGGGCTTATATTGCAGCCCACCCCGAAAATCCGACTAGGGCTTATTTTCGGGGTAGGGTTTATTTTCGGGGAAACACGGTAGTACGGCAGATAATTTTGCCGACTATGGCTATATTGTTCAACCTCACAGACTTCATTTGGCTTCCCTTCTTTTAAGGAACAATTCCAGAGTTATAAATCAATACATTTGATTGGAGTGTTGGGGGGAGTCTCCTGGGCCCCCTGTACCACAATATCTGTAAATAAAGCATTAACTTGTCACAAATTTAAGATTGAGGCAGTCTCTCACAGCAGCTCCCAGCTTGTGACCTGCATAGAAGCCCTAAAATGCAGGTCACAAGCAATAGCCAGTGCATCGCTATGAGACGTACAGCCTTCCACTTGTGCCCTAGCACAAAGAAACCAGGAAGAAAACCCTCCCAGCTGCCTGATTTTCACTTGCTGTGCGTAATGTGTGAGCTCTGTTTTGCCACCCCTCCGGCTAAGCTTTCTATCTAGTGGGGATCTTGGATTCCTAATGGTCTACAGGAGTGCATTTGATCTGTGCCTCTATACTCAAACTGCTTTTTTCTCCTTGTTCAAATCTATTTAATTTTGGTAAAAACAAAAAGAAAAATGTTTGTGGCTTTTTGCAACTATGCGCTGTTAGACATGCTACCTCTTTTCACAAAGCAACTTCTTTATTAATAGTATTCTGAGTACATACTCAGCTCAATTAATGGAAGATTAGTCGGAGCTGAGGTGCTGATTGACTGCGCCCACACAAAAAAAGAAATGTATTTCAAAACTATGCTAAGGAAAAACAGTACAAATATTATGGGGGAAAATTATTGATTGTGGGGCAAAATGATGAAAGCAGCTCAGCTTCTGAGTATGTACAAAAAATATATATCTTATAAGGAAGTTAAAACTGATTTGTAAAAAGTTGGAGTGTAGCTAAAAAAGTACAGGGTATTGCTTCAGGACCTTTTTTGTTTTTAATGCAAAACTAATGATTTGAGTGTGAAGAAAAACTAGCATGTTATGAGGCCAATATTAACGAAATGCCCTTATGTTGGCGCCCAAGGTATGACTGGAGTATGCTTTTAAAGAATATAAAATCCTTCAAATTGAGAATGTGTTTTTTTTTTTTTTGTTTTTTTTTTAGTAATATTAACAATTTGCCTTACTTTGTGAATATATTAAATGTAAAATCATCAAGGGGAAAAGAAAGCCTGAAATAGAAGTTAAACATGGCAGAAAGACAAATTACTTTGGCGCATTACAGAAAATGTTGGTGAAAAAAAAGTGACTAATATATAAAAGGTGGGGTAACAATTTGATAGATAATACAATGATGTATGCACACAAAACTAGTACATGGGGTAGGGTGCAGAGTAAACAAATAATATTCCAAGAACACAGGATTTCATAATAAAATTGGGTATTGGCAAAACCGTTGCCCACAAAGTAAAGAAGCTGGTATTCCCATCATACTAGGCCTTTCTATCAACATGACTTGGTTTTAACTGGAGAATGAAGAATACTATAAAGTTTATTTGTTATGTACGGAACTGAGCTCTCACAATGAACACCTACCAGCTCGATGATATAGAATATAAATAGATATAAGGATTTTTACTTCTCATGTTATCAAGGTGCAGCTGCCTCATGGTAGGTAAAAACCTTTTGCAGCTATTTCCCACTGAGCTAAACTGTACCAACAATACCCGACAGCTATATGTACAGATATATAGATTTTATTGAGAGAACGTGTAACATAGAGATCCCATAAGTAGAGTAACAGCTGCACTATACTCTATACTTACCGTCCTGGCAGTGCAGTCTCTCTTTACCTTAGATGTCAATGCTTCAGGCACCTCTAAGAAGGGCTCTGCGGAGCGCGGATTCTGCCACCTCCAATATGGCCGATGCGGCTGAGCGCGGATTCTGCCACCTCCAATATGGCCGATGCGGCGGAGCGCGGTTTCCGCCACCTCCAATATGGCCGATTTGGCGGAGCGCGGTTTCCGCCACCTCCAATATGGCCCCCGCGGAGCTTTGTTTCGGTATCTCCAGTTACAATGTACCGGAAGTAAACATGTTAATCGCGCGGTTACCTCTCTTGCGTGCCCACGTGTCGCCTGGAGGTTACGTTGTAAACAGTTTAAAAATACACAACCGCTACAGTTACTGCATCCTGCCCTGCCTGCTCTTCAGAAGCGTGGTTGAAGAGAGTCATGGCCGCGCCTGAAGACAGGAGTGATGAAGCACCAGGTCCTGAATGTCTCTCTCCTGATTCAAGCCAGCTATCGACAAATATCGAGGCAGAGGTCCTGCAGCTGCTTCAAACCCCAGAGAGTGTCCCCAGCCTGGTGCCATGCAGTATGGTGGCTCTAGCAGGCACCATGCCAGACTCAGTCCAAGCTGCCTGTGGGCCAGTGAGGGGTGCAGGTCCTGATACACTGGGAGATCACCCTGGTCAACACAGGGGTAAACAGGTCACAGCAGCACTCATTACACCTGATACTGAGCATGATAAAAAGGCTCCAGTGAGAATAGTAAAGGAAGAGAGTAACAAGGCTGAGGCTCAAGCCATTTGTGTGCTCTCCTCCCAAAGTACAGCTTCTAAAATAAGTGAACCAGACGCCCCTCAAGCTAAGATACAACCGGTGCCTATTTTGCCACCAGCAACACAGAACAGACAAACTGGTGCTAGAGGCAGTAGGAATTTCTTCATGATAAAGAAAATGTGTGCACAGCTAACGGACTCTCAGATACTGAGTTTTAAACATGAAGCTGTGAAGCGAATCCTCCAGGCAGAGAACACCATTAGTAGTAGTGGCTTATCAAAAATGCGAGTTAAGATCCTTGCTCGCTTGGTGAGCCAGCTAGATACTGCTATGAAGCTGGAGGTTTTGCGCCATTTTCTAAGTGACACACATGGGCAGCTGGAGCTGGCGGTAGCTTGGCTGTACCAGGAGTACTGTAAGTACCTATCTGATGGGGATGATCAGGGATACCAAGAGTGTCTAATTGCAATGTTGACTGGCCTCCAAGATAGACCTGACCTGAATGATGGGATCTTCAGTAAAGTTGTCCTTGGAGCTCCTATGCTTACAGATTCTGCACTTGAAGTAATTAGGAATTACTGTGAAGGCGAAGGCCATAGCTATCTAGGAATGGCCACTTTGAGAGAGCTAATCATGACTCGGCCAGCCCATCGCTTCCAATATCTCCATCTCCTTTTGGACTTGAGTTTACATGAAAAAGATAAGGTCCGCCAACAGGCTATTCACTTCATTAAATATTTGTATGAGAAGCAAACTCTCCAAGAGTATATAGAGATATTTGCCCTAAACTACTTGCAACTCCTTGTCCATCCTAACACCCCTTCAGTACTCTTCAGGGCAGATAAAGATACAGAGGTTGCAGTCCCCTGGACAGAAGACACTGTTAAACAATGTTTATATGTTTATTTGGCCATACTCCCACAGAACCACAGACTTATACATGAGCTGGCATCTGTTTATGCTGAAGCCACTGCTGTCAGCAAGAGTATTTTGCGCAGGGTCATTGATACCCCAATAAGATGCATTGGGATGAACTCCCCAGAGTTTTTATTGTTGATAGAAAACTGCCCTTATGGGGCTGAGACTCTGGTTATTCGTTGCTTGTATATCCTGACTGACAATGCACCTCCATCTCCTGAACTAGTGAAATGTGTCCGTGCTTTATATCAGAAGCGTGTTCCAGATGTCCGTTTCCTGATCCCTGTGCTGAATGAGCTGAGTAGGAGAGAAGTAATTCAGGCTTTACCCAAACTCATTGAACTAAAATCCTTTGTAGTGAAAGATGTGTTCAACCGACTTTTAGGATTTTCACATGGAGATTTTCATTCTGCAATGCCTTCTTTCACCCCTAGAGATTTAATCATTGCTCTTCATGACATTGACACCCGAAAATGTAGCATCAAACGTGTCATTAAGGCTATTAACATATGCTTTATGGCTAGTTCAGTGTACACTCCCAAAGTCCTAGCTGGGGTCCTTCAACAGCTGACAAACACTACACCTATCCCTGTGCTCCTTATGAGAACAGTCATCCAGGCCTTAGAGATATACCCTGAACTAGCAAGCTTTATCATGAGTATATTGACTCATCTCATCTACAGGCAGGTTTGGAAGTACCCCAAAGTGTGGGAAGGATTCATTCAATGCTGCCAGAAAACAAATCCACAGTCCCTGTGGATCATCATGCAGCTCCCACCTCCACAGCTTCTCTCTATCCTACAAACTTGTCCAGATATTCGAGCACCCTTTTTAGCTCGTGTCAGGGCTTCCAGCCTACATCAGTTGGCTCATGTTCCTCACTCCATCAGGGCTATTCTTAATGCTGAGTCCAAAAGAGAATCAGAGAAGCAGAAAGCTCTCTCTCATGATATCATTTCCCGTTGCTCAGTTCACGAAAAATGCTTCAAGAGACCACGTTTGGAAGAACAAAAGAGGCAAAATATTAAAGAAAAGCAAGAGGAGATAGCAGAAGTGGGAATGCCTTCCCTTCTTATAGATGCAGAAAAGGGTGAGCCAGTGAAAGCCTATGGGGAGGAAAAATCTCAAGAAAATTCATTGAACTACACTACTGAAACAACAGAGTCTTCTCCACCTGATGAGCCCTTAACAGAGGATTAGAGATAAAAGAAGTTCGAAGAGCCTCCAAATCTATTGTATGTTCTCAATAAAATCTCCGATTGACTGTTATGGTGATATATTTAAGTGATTGTATTATTATAGAAAAAACAATATCGTTGTGATTTCTTATTGAAAAGTCACAGAATGTCTTTATGTTGGATTTTGCGTGTTGCATTTAATGATGATATAATCAGTATAGTCTAATGCAGAGGTAGACAACTTTTGGCACTCCTGATGTTGTGTACTACCTCTCCAATCATGCTCTTACAGACAAAATGCTGACAAAGCATTAAAGAGATCCTATAGTGCCAGGAAAGCAAACCTGTTTTCCTGGCACTATATGCTCTTGGAGTGCCCCCCTCCCTCGAAGCTGAAGGCGTTATTACCCTTTCAGCCACTAACCTTAATCCAGCACTGGTGACCTCTCCTCCCCTGCTGATGTCAGCTCCCGAGTGGAGCCGCACGCGCGACCAGAGATGCGCGCATTCAAACCCGCCCATAGGAAAGCATTACTCAATTCTTTCCTATGGGGATCTGTTTTGACGCTGGACTCCATAAGGACGTCCAGTGTCAAATGCGATTTACTCAGTGTAAATTGCGGAAGGGGCCTCTAGTGGCTGTCGGGGAGATAGCCACTAAAGGATAGCTTAACCTTGCAGTGTCTCTGAAACTGCTATGTTTTCAGCTGCAGGGTTAAAACTAGGGGGCCTGGCACCCAAACCACTTCATTGAGCTGAAGTGGTCTGGGTGCCTATAGTTGTCCTTTAAGGGAGATTTAGTCCCAAACATCTGGAGTGCCAAAAGTTATCTCTGGTCTAATGCAATTGCTCAACAAAGTTCTCAAGGCACCCCAACTTTTCTCATTTATGTCCCTATGGGGATACTGACATGCTGGGCCATCAGGATTCTTGAGAACTTCCTATCTGTCAGGATTTTTTTACTTAAAAGGACAACTGTTATCTAAAATAATTTTAAAGGGACACTATAGTCACCAAAACAACTACAGCTTATTGACTTTGTTCTGGTGAATAGAATCATTACCTTCAGGCTTTTTGCTTCAGAGAAAATGCAGTGTTTACATTACAGCCTAGTGATAACTTCACTGGCAATTCCTCAGATAGCTGTTAGAGATTCTTCCTGGGTAATGGGTGCCTAAAATACATCCAAACATTCAGTATCTCCTCCCTCTGCATGGAGACACTGAACCTTCTTCATAGAGATTCATTGATTCAATTCATCCCTATGAGGAGATGCTGTGTTTGAATCATGGTGGCTCTGCCTCTGATCTGCCTCTTTGTCAGTCTCAGCCAATCCTATGGGGAAGCATTGTGATTGGATCAGGCTACCACTTCTGATTATGTCAGCAGACTGCTTGTTGTTCTGAGGCAAACAGCATGCAAAGTTACAGCTTTAGGCTTGAATACAGTAAGATTTTGCTATATTTATGGAGGCATGAGGGGCCCAAGGGGGCTAGATGGTGGTTTTAACACTAAAGGGTCAGGAATATATGTTTGTGTTTCTGACCCTGTAGTGATCCTTTAAATATAATACACATTTAATCAAGTTTTTAAAGGAAATGGAGTGCTTTTTAAATTAAGTTTATGCTCAAAATTCCCTGTTTCTGTGCATGGAGTGAAACAGAGAAAATCACAGAGACTTACAGTTTGCAAACACTGACCCAAGGTAGATGTATGTGACAGAAGGATCCTGTCATATACTAAATAAACTTCTTATTTTTTATATACACTTCTTAAAATAATCTATTTCCTTTCAAATCTTTTTTTTAATATAATTACTTTTTATTGAGTTTCAAGAAGGAAATACATATATTTCATTATAAAACAGTGTCATCAGCATTGTATTGAGTAACATAGAGGCGTTACATAATGAAAGCTGTTATACATCCTTATATAAAGTCATACTTGTCAATGTATTGGTGACTTTCTTATGATATATTATATGTTGTTTGATAAGCAACCGAAGGAAAATAGGAAAATGATGAAAAGGAAAAATAGGGGGAAAATCCAAATTACTTGGAGACTTCATTACTATGATATTAAGTATTATATCGCTCAGGTTTATTTGCCTAATATAAAGGGGGAAGTCGTGAAACACATTAATCACATTAATAATTATAAAACCCCGCCAACCTGGTATCTTAAATGCGTAAAGGCACTTTTATAGGACAGTATTGGCATGTCTTCTTTAGTAGTGTTTGACAATTAATAACATTAAGACAAAGCTGAACTATGCTTATACATATTGCTTAATTACCAGCTTCATTGTTACCTTATTCAAGGGCTAAGTACTATTAGTTATATTAGCATCCTATTCTTTCGAAACCTCCATCCTAAAATCGTGTGAAATTATGTTTTGTCTTGCTGATACTTTGCTTATAATTTGTGAGTTCTAACATAGCAGTGATTTTAGTTTTCAACCAATTTTAACTATTAATGATAAGGCGGCTATAAGGATGTGGACCATCAAATATCTAATAGACTTAGGGTACTGGTCTTCAAACAAAAATAACAATAGAATGGTGGGGTCATTCTGAATTGCCCTATTAGTGTTTATTTGAATTAATTGAATTACTTCTTTCCAATAAACTTGTATTGTGGAGCAGCTCCACCAGATATGTAACATATTGCCTACATCGCTGCCACATCTCCAACAAATATTAGATTTTAAGGGGCATATTTGTGTTATTCGAGACGATACCATATACCATCTATAAAATAGCTTACGTGCTGTCTCCATATGGGATGCACATAATGTCATTCTTTTAAACATATTTATTGCTTTCAGGCATTTACTTTCTGGTATTTGGCGACTGAGAGCCTTTTCCCATGCTAAGACACACGGTAGAAATTTTATGCTTTTGGTAATATTTAAAAGAGCATTTATAGTTAATATAGGCTTTTTTTGACAGGAGTCAATTGTACACAGAATGTCTCAAAGTTGGTCAGCTGATGCTCGTTTACAAAAATTGAATCTATAACAACATGGGTATTCCACCAAGGTTTAATCTGCTGATATGAAAAAAAGTGCTGTGCTCGGCAATGTATATACTCATTCCAATTGTGAAAATTTTAACATTTTACCTTCATAATATAACATACATAGATGCAAGATCCCACAGCGGTTCCATAGTTTATAATTAAAATCAGGTACAAGAACTGATAGTGCCCTCATAGGTGTAGCTAGAGAGATAGGGTGACAACTGAACACGTTTCCTAGACTATATATATCCAAGGTTTCCTTGCACATCAGGCTTAGCGTTGTGATGTGTTTTAAACGCTGGGTGCCAGATCAAGGTCATCTATCTACAAGAATCGAAGTGATGGTCCACTCTCACGGTCTTCTTAAAACTTAACTTTTATTGCTTACATAAAAGTACAAATTATGTTACCATATAGCGTCAATGTTTCAATCCCGGATCGGGACTTTCCTCAGGACAGTATAACAGACTAGAACAAAGTGATATTTATAAGGGGAATAAGTAGAATTACTTACCCCACGTGTGTAACGCTCGCATAACCACCCTCAGTTATAACGTGTATCTGTAGTGCCGAACAGCGTACCTGCTGTCATGGAAATGCCGGACACACATATTCCAATTGGTAGAGACTGAATAATTGCACGCCTCCCGTGCAAAGGTGCCATAACCAGCTTCCCGGCGTATCCATGACAGCGCTGGGATTGTCATGTTCATATAGTGAATAGTGGACGGTTACTGTCGGTGCTTTGTTTAAGCAGTGATCTGCTGAACGAAATAGAAGTGGAATTATATACTATGTGCAAAATAGAAAAAGAGTGCAGCATAGACAACTTTAACTATCTAATATGATGTAAAGTGCAGAGGATATGGATATTGCAATAATATCCCAGTGCGATCTAGGAAAAGATTTAAAGTGCCAATAAGTGCTTGGATTATAAAGTGCTTTGTGTATATGCAGATGGTGCATTATATAAATGTGCTTTCGAGCCCTCTCTTATACGTAAATCAATATACATCATCTTTGAGGATAACATTATAGCATGTTATCCTCAAAGATGATGTATATTGATATTGTATATTGATTTTACGTATAAGAGACCATCACTTCGATTCTTGTGTATATATATATATATATATATATATATATATATATATCTCAAATATTTTACCAGGAAAGATACATTGAGATTTCTCTCGTTTTCAAGTATGTCCTGGGTCCACAAAACATTGTATTGATACAATAGGATACAACAAAATAAAATAATATTAATACAATATTTAACATAGAACAGGTAGAAAATATATAATCAACCATGACAGGTGCGTTCTGTTTTGAGATATGTAGAGAGGGATCTCTTAAAGGATTTTAGGCCTGGGGAAGATTTGAAAGTGTGTGGGAGGTCGTTCCATAATTGCTGTGCTCTGTAGGATACACTTTCTTTTTGTATTGAGGTAGGCTAAATAAAGTGCTGGTACTGGATCGGAGATTACAGGAGGTGGGAACAGCTGGGGAGAGCATTCTGCTCAGGTAGGGTGGGAAAAGCTCTTTTTTTCCCAGAATAGCTCTTAAACACAAAGCTGGAAAGATGAAGGGTGCGTCTGGATTCCAACGACAGCCAGTTTAGTTCTTTTAGCATGTCACAATGGTGAGTTATTTAATTACATTGTAGCACAAAGTGTCAGAACGAGTTATACAATGTATTAAGTTTATTAAGGTGGGTTTGCGGTGCAGGTGCATATATTACATCCCCATAATCAATGATTGGCATCAGCATTTGCTGTACAATCTTTTCCTTTACAGTAGGGCTTAGGCACGATTTGTTTCTGTACAGTCCACCTAGTTTTGGATAAAGTTTAGATGCAAGTTTTTCTATGTGGATGCCAAAAGATAGATTGGGGTCTAACAACATACCCAAGTATTTGAAAGAGTGGACTGTGGTAAGTGTGCTATTTAATTTTGTTTTCATGGATAGGTGGAAATTTTATAATTTAGGACTGTTCC